ACGTTGCGGGGGGACACTCTTATCATTTGAGGGAAACTTCTATGCACACAAACACAAAACCTTTATTGGCATGAAAGCACAAAACATCATGGAAATACAGGAAAATACTAAGATGCATCAGTCACTTACACTTGGCTATTCAATGAAAACTCTATGATTTTCCCTCCAATGATAGCGGTCCCGCCCCCAACATGCCTGACGCAATGATGTCACCTCCAGGTGATGTCATTGCGGCACGTACACAAAGGAGCTCCCAGAGAGGGCCAGGACTCCCCCTGCTAAAGCTACAGTAGGACTTGGAAACCCTCACCAGGAACTCCCATCTTATCTGGGCAAATACAGATCTCCTCATCACCAATCAGTGTAGTTATTAGAAGACATTCAAAAGTGATTAAATCACATCCTCTTAAAATATCCTGGGGTGGGGTTTTTTTGGCAATTAGTTCATGAAACAGTCATTAAGTCCAGAAACGATGCAGACAATCTTGCTTCTTCTCCTGAAATCAATTTGCCCTTCCCCTTGCGCACAACCCCAAATGTGAAATAGCGCCTCTGCGTCCAGCACCCTAGTTTAAAAAAACAACCACCACAAGTTTTATGAGGCCTCTAAATGTAAGAAAGCAAAATTCAGTCTTGCCAGATGAGATCTGCAGGCCAAGGAGACGGGAAGGATGAGCAGAGGAAAAGCTGGAGGTGGTATGAGTGAGGGAGAGACAGACCAATTGAAGATCCGAGTCATCAGGGACAGCCTGACTGGGAAACTACTCAAGATGGCTTGGCAGGAACTGCAAAGTTTTGGCCCTGGAATCTGTACATTTATTGCAGATTTATAGCCAGCCCCGTGCCTAAGACACAGTGAAGGTGATATTTCCTCATTTCATTAAATCTTCACAACAGACTGAGAGATAAGAGATAAGAGGATTCAGTGGTTGGCTGTGAAGAAATAAAGGTGTTTGTTTTCACCAATGGATACCAACATTAATGGAGAAAGTCAGCCTGAAGCTAGCTCTTGTATCTGTTTCCATACACAGGCATTTAACTTCCAGCAAGTGTTATTAAGTTCCCAGTGTGCCTGGGTACCCTCATACTGCACAGGTAGGTGGTCAGCTCACCATGGCCAAGGGGGCCAACGCAGGCAGTCTTCTCTTACTTTCACCTTGTACTGAAGTGTTTGTGAGAGCTAGCCAGCCTCAAAGTGACTGACTGGACCTGGAAAGGCAAGAGACCACCCACCCCTGTGGCTCAAGTGAGAGGCCTGGAAGAGATGGTCTGTGTCCTCAGAACCCCTACTCATAAATGCAGCGGCCCTTTGGGACAAACTACCCCAGGACACATGAACTGTTGGTCACTGTTGGTTTAACTAACCTGTTTGATAAGTTTGTTTGTAACAGAGTGTTCAGTGTGATCAGTTAAACCTTTTGATCAACTAAAATGGTACATTAATTAGGAAGCAGAGGTTTGTTTTTTTAAAACTTGATTATTTTCATACAAGAACTACTAAAGACAATGATAGCAGGCACCATTTTAGAAATAATTCCTGTTCTTCCCCTCAACCACATAAAGGAGGAAATGCTTCTCCATGCCATTTAAGAAGAGACATTTTCTCTTCTGTTTCACATAGAGGAGGGAATACTTTCCCCATATTTCCCCATATTGTATCTTTAAAATGTATTCTTCTCTCACATACAGGAAGGAATGATTTATTATTATTTTTTAAAAAATTCTAAGGTCCTTTGACCTAACAAAGAGACATAGGTTTTCAATGCCTCCTGCAGAAGTTAGGAAACCTCCTGCCACCAATCCTCCCCCCCCCCCCCCCCCCCGTAAAAGGGGGAGAAAGGCAGCACTGCACTTGGCACTACATCACTTCTGGGGAAAACCTGGAAGTGACATCACATTGTTCTAGGAAACTCCAGAAATTCTATGATTTTACCAATGACTTTCCAGTGATTCCTTGAGCAACACAACATCACTTCTAGTTATTTGTGGAAGTTATGCCATGGTACATGTGACCAGTGGCCCCCAGATCCCCAAGCTCCCAACTTAGAGAGACAATATATAAATAGTTCCAATAAATATTTCAGACAATTATGTCAGCATTAAACTATTAAGGCTGCGGTCACACGCAGCATTAGCCACGCAAGAGATACGGAAGAGAGGCGGAGTTTCCGGGCGCGATCTCACCAGCACATCTGGGGAGCGTAGCGCTTCCGTGGCACAACGGAGGCTTCCTCCCAAACACGCGCAGCAAAAAACTAGTACCTCAGAGGTACTAGTTTCCGGAAACTGCGGGGCAAGGGCGGGCGTCTGATCACGTTTCCGGTGGCATCCGGCGCCCGCCCATGTCCCCTTGCGAAGGAGGTTTTTTTTCCCCCAAGTCTCCGTGGTTGCGCACACGCACCCAACCGAGCATGCGCATTCGTAGTGTACACAAAAAAAGAACACCAGTTCGCCGCGCCGCGCGCTTCTTCATTGCGCGCAGGCGTGTGTTGTGATCGACGCCTCTCCGTAACCACAGAAGCTTCACGGTACCTCCACAGAACCTCCACAGGAGGTTTGATCGCTTTACTGCGTGTTAGTTTGCCCCGGGGCAAACAGCCACGCTTCCCCCCCGCAGTTTCCTGCTCGTGTGACCGGGGCCTTTGTTCCTTTATTACCAGGAACCTGGATTTTTTTCTGTATAATCTTACAGTGAAAAGGAGAGCTATCAACAACTACACCCAGGGGGATACAAATATAAATAGAGAAAAGTTTGCATTGGATTGTGGCCTGAATATTTCTCCCTTCCTCAAACTGCTGGAAATCTCCTTTTAGATCAAGAAGACAAAGATGTGTATCTATAACACAAGAAAAGAAATCAATGCAGACAGTGTGTTCTGACCTAGATACAAGGCATCTGATCACTCCACTGAAACAAGATGAGTAAACTCAGAGGCCTAAGAAATGTGAGATCAAGTTTCAAATGAGAGGTCCAGTTTGTGGACGTCTGGCCAAGTCCCATTGCAGAAGATGGATGGAGACAGAGGGAGACCCACTGGAATGAAGGCTGCGGGGTGGTGTCTGAGAACACTGCAGTGGGTTTGAGAAGAGGAAAGCAGGGATCCAGATTACTCCCCCCTCCCCTTTCCTTTCAAGTTCATAAAGTCGAATATGATGGCAGCCTCCCTCTAGCCCAGGAAGCTTTGTGCTACAATAAATCTGCTTGTCTTTCAGAAGCCATAAGACTCCTTTATGGTTTTTACCGCAATAGACCTATAGGGGTATCCCACAAATATGACTACAGTTGTTGGATGGAACAGGTTATGACTCAGGTACAGAATGTGCTTTTACATGCAGAAGGTACCTGGTCTCTCCATCTAAAAACCTCTCACCCACCATGTCTTGGGAAAGTCCTTTCTCTGCCTGAGTCTCTGGAAAGGCACTGCTGGTCAGACTGGACAATACTGAGGTAGATAGATCCAGGTGGGCAGCCGTGTTGGTCTGAAGCAGTAGTACAAAATCAGAGTCCAGTGGCACTAAAACCAACAAAGGTTTATTCAAGGTATGAGCTCTAAAAAAGTGTGCCTTGCACATGAAAGGTCATACCTTGAATAAACCTTTGTTGGTCCTAAAGGTGCCACTCGACTCTAATTTTGTAATACTGAGGTAGGTGGGTCAATGGGCTATGTGAGTATAAGGCAGTTATGGGTGTTCACATATGGAAGAAGAAGAGATTGGATTTATACCCCACCCTTCACTACCCAAAGGAGTCTCAGAGCGGCTTACAAACTCCTCTCCCATCCCCTCCCCACAACAGACACCCTGTGAGGTAGGTGGGGCTGAGAGACCTCTGATCGAAACTGCTCTTTTTCAAGAACCGCTGTTCCAGAATTATGGCTTGCCCAAGATCATCCAGCCAGGTGCAAGTGGAGGAGTGGGGAATCAAACCCGGTTCTCCCAGATTAGAGTCCGAACACTTAACCACTACACCAAACTGGCTCTGGAGCTGGATGGGCCCCCTCAGGCTAGGATAATACGGGATATATTGAGGCAATATGTGTGTGTGTGTGTGTGTGTGTATAGTTGCCAACTCTAGGCTGAGAAATTCCTGGAGATGTGGGTATATATCCCATGGATGGTTTGGGGAGGGGAGAGACCTCAGCAGGGTATAATGCCATGTAGTCCACCCTCCAAAGCATTTTCTTCATAGGAGCTAATCTTTACTGTCTGAAGATCAGTTATAAATCCAAGAGATCGCCAGGCCACACTTGGAAGCTGGCTACCCTAGCTATATAACAGTTCAGTTCCCTCTGTGTGTGTAATTGAGGCAGAATGCGGGGTTTGCCATTAAAGGCATAGATCTAAATTCCCACTGAGCCCTAAAGCGGGCACTCATTCATAGTCTCTTTCTTTCTCATTTCTAATCTTTCTTTTTACAAGATTGAGGGGGTGTGTGTCTATGTCCCCCTCCCATTTTATTTTCCCAACACCCTTGTGAAAGAGGTGAGGCCCAAGGCCACCCAGTGGCCTTTATGGATATCTGAGGTCACTCCAAATCTAGCCTTGTGTTCTGTCGGCTTCACCATGCTGCCTCTTTCACGGGATTGCCGTGAAAATAAATTAGAACCGAAAAGCACTTTGTCTGGAGCTGAGGAGTGTGATAGAAATGATAAAGATCTTTTTCACACAGTGGGAGTGTGCACTCTTGGGCAGCCTGTTTAATTCCATTATTGGGGCAATGCGGATTCAACCTGGGCAGTGAAAGCATCAAGAAGACAAAAGAGGTGGAAATAATCTACTGACATTTTCCCACGTGGGTTAAATGCCCCATCCTTTCCTATTCAATGAGAACTCCCCAGCCTCTACTGACAATGCCAAAGGTCATCCGCCCTTTCTCCTTTCACCCTTGATCAGACCTTCTGAAGCTGGAAGGCTATGGGTGGTAAAGAGCCAGGAGGCTGGGAGAGAAGGGAGGGAAAGAGGAGGAGGAGGAAGGAGAGAGGAGAGGCCGGCTGGCTCACCTCTGCTCAGCTGGGCTGTAGGTCTGTCCACTCTGGCAGCTGCTGACGGTGATGGGGTCAAAGTTGTGGAAGGAGCGCAGGGCCACCCCGGAGATGGCCACAAATGGAGAGCCGAAGGTGATAAGGATCGCCTGGGTGTGGTAGAAATGCTGGCTGAGGTCATGGATGACAGGAATTATCAAGGGGTTTTTCCTGCAGCTCAAACCGTGGACCCCTGTCAGAGGGAGGACAAGAATGGAAAGGGGGAGGGGAGAGAGTAAAGTGTCAGTGTTTAACATAGCCATTCCCCTTCTTTTCAGCAGTAAAATCCCTCAGCTGCTTTGCAAAAAAAAAAAATAATGATGGCATTACAAACATCAATAAAAAGACTGATGAATGAAACAGCAGGAAAAGGTGTCCATCTTGGAACAGACCCACAAACACACTGATGCCCCAGCCTGGTGTTTCAAACAGAAACCGAGAATGGATCTACAAGTAAACCTCCCAACCTGCTGTTTCCCACACACTCCATACTTACACAACACAGACTGCAGTTGCCAGCCTCTAGGTGGGGCCTGGAGATCTCTCAGAATCACAACTGATCTCCGGACTACAGAGATTAATTCTTCTGGAGAAAAGGCTGCATTGGCGGGTGGACTTTATCGTCTCACATCCCCTCTCCAAACCCCGCCATCCTAAATCTCCAGGAATTTCCCAACCTGGAGATGGCAACCCTAGCTCACACAGATTTGCTGCAGCTTTGTGTATGCAACCTTTAAATTCACATTAAGGACATAGTCTTGATTGTGATTCCCCCCCCCCCTTCAAAAACTCACCAAGTCCTTACTTGGCATCTTCCAGGAATGCTGTAAAAGTTTTGTGTTTGGGTCTACTTTCAGCGATCTGACATCTGTGCAGGTCATGGTTTGGGACTCAAACATTGGGGAAGTGGGGGATTATTAACTTTCCTCTGATCAAAAATGTCCCTCAGCTACTTTAAGCACCAATCAAGGTACCCCCCCCCCCCCCCCCCCGCCCCAGATCTCCAAGAGGAACATTTTCAACCAGGGAAACAGTGTAGAGGGGTCATTAAAGCTCTCCTTCCCTAATGCTGTGGTTCCAGGCCATATCATTTCTATCTGCTCTTTAGGCCCAAATGGCACATCTGGGCTTGCAGCAGTGTTCCCTCTAAGCTGAGTTAGTGTGAGCTAGCTCACAGTTTTTTAGCCTCCAGCTCACACACTTTTGTACTAGCTCAGAAAGAATGGCTCCAGAGTAAACTAATTTATGCAGTAGCCAAATTGCTCACTCACAACTTTAATGCCAGTAGCTCACAAAGTAGAATTTTTGCTCATAAGACTCCACAGCTTAGAGGGAACATTGGCTTGCAGTCACAAAAGTCCAACATTACACACATCATTGGGCCTTTTACTTGATAAGAGTGACAAGTTTTACCTGTTCGGTAGACATTTACTTGGACAAAGACTGCAAAGCAAGAAGAAAAGGGCGCAGCACAGAATCAGGCAGAAAGTTCTCACCAAGGTCATGACTTTGTTCTTTTGTGTCAAGCAGTTGCACAGAGATGGTCTCCTGCTTCTGATCATGATAATCAGTGGGATTCAAGCCGTCTGTAACTAAGTGAATGATCACAGCTGCAGCTACCATTGGCTGTGAAAAGAGAGCCTGGGAAAAGGAGGGAGGATAACCCATGGGGTTAGGTGCAGAGTTGCATGTGTTTCAACTGTTTTTATTCATTTGAAAGAGTCCCTGTCTCCTCCCTGTTCTTGACAAATCACCATCCCAATTTCCCCCTCCCCCTGTGAGGATGTTAGTGTGGCTTGCTAGAGGCATCCCTTTTCAAGGTTCCATTCCCTTTCTTGACAAGTCCAGTCTCTCAGTGGTGTTAGATAAATATTGTCTCTAAGTGCATAAATATTGTCTCTAAGTGCACATGCACTTAAATGGACCCAAGCCCATATTGCACATATTGGCTTGGATCCAGTGACGTGCAAGCAGAAACATAAGCGGACTTGGTGCACTTCTGCTTGTGCAACATCTTGTGCAACATCTTTGCTCCCTATAGGGCACAGAAAACAGAAAAACGGGTGCAGATACAGAAGTACAGATTTCTAAGAATTACTCAAAGCAATGGTTTGATAAGGATTGCCAAAAAGGAGCTTAGAGCTGTTTATCAGGCATATAAGACTGCCACAGGAACAAATATTCAGAGCACCTCCCACCATCTATTATATCTAAAGAAGTGCTGTAACAAAATCAATGGCAACAAAAAAGCAACCGGATATAATGGAGTTATGGAATCAAATAATTCAGTCAACCAAAGATTAAAAAAAAATCTGTGCTTTTTTGGAATCTGATATCCAGACACTCTTATAAGGATATTCCACTTATAGACTCTTTAATTTTGCCAGATAAATTGGAAGGTTATTTTCAGAAACTATATGCAGAGGCTCAGCATCCATCTTATCTCCAAAAGCCAGAGGATTTGCCACACTTGTCACCTGTTATTGTAAAGAAAATCAAGTTCCTCACTGGCCAACTCAAGAGAGGCAAACCTCCTGGCATAGATAATATCCCACCAGAATTATTAAAGGAGAACATCAACTGGTGGGCCTCCACTGTGGCCTCCCTTTTCACCTATATGAACTGGTGCAGTGTGCCTTCAGTGTGGCTTGCAGACCCTTGGGGTAATTGCAGAGCCACCAGCCCCGGACACCTTACCTTGAGCCAGTAAATGGTCTGGGTGTGGTTGGCAGTGCATGGATACCACGCATATTGAGACATCCCTTCACTGAGATCCTCACTGAAGTCCTTGGTTAGACACGCCTGAATGAGAGAGAGGGGCTATCAGTGTTGGTTCCAAGTGTGCACAGGAAAAGGTTACTGTAGGTAAATGCACAATTTGTGCCCCACCCAGCAAAACACAATCCACTAGCCTTAAATTGTGACTTCCACGAAGTCTGACAGATTCTCACAGCACTGCCAAGCAGAAATAAGCAAATTTTGTCTGTTTCTTTTCGTATTTGTTTTCTTTTTATATTTGCTTACATTTGGATTTTCTTTGTCTGCTGGTTTCTGCCGGTTTTGTAGATTTGCCTGCATTGTCAACTGTGCTGTTTGAATCCCCCAATCAGATTTTCAGTTTTGCTTCTTTCTTATGTTTTTTTGACGTTTTCTGTTTCCTCAGACTAAATTCAGTCCCGTAATTATAACACTGATGTATCGCTGTTTTATCAGAAGATTTTTGGTTTGAGGAAACGGTGTGCATATTTGAAGCTGCCTTACATTGAATCAGTCCGTCTAACTCAGTACTCTGACTGCCCATGGTTCTCCAAAGCCACAATCAGAAGAAAGTCTTCCCAGATCATTTCAGCTGAAGATGCTGGACACTGAATGTGAGACCTGAATACAAAAGCACATGTTCTACCACAGAGCCACAGCCTCTCTAAGAACCTGCCCTTTCGTGTTGGTCTGCATAGATCAGTGTTGCCTACTCTTGGCTGAACTGAACTGCCTTCATTAGAACTGTCTACTCCATCTGGTGGTGGCTCTCATCAGGAAATGGTCTATAACAATATCTGTGCTACCTGAGATGCTAGGCTTTCTTCCTGGGACCTTCTACATGCCAAGCATGCACGCAACACCACTGAGCCACAGTGCAACACATTTACAGAATACAAACACACCTGTGAAACCCGCTGCAAAAAGGGGGCAAGCAAAACCAATGCAAAAAATATAAATGAATATCAAAAGAAAGAGAGCTGGGAACGTTTGCTCATCCCAGCTATTGAGTAGAGTACACGGGCATTCTTAAACAAAATATCTAATCTGTAACACTAGTGGGGGGGAGATGGAAGATAAATCAATACCGAAACCTAATCTATGTTGTATTTTCATTGTGTGGAAAAGAAGCATGAATGTTCCCACATTCACCCACCCTACAACTAGGGTTGCCAGCTGGGTTGCCAGTTCTGGGTTGGGAAATACCTGGTGATTGGAGGGGGGCAAGGCTGAGAAGGGTGGGGTTTGGGGAGGGGAGGGGTTTCAGTGGAGTAAAATGCCACAGAGTCTGCCTTCCAAAGTGGCCGTTTTCTTCAGAGGAACTGATCTCTCTTGTCTGGATCAACTGTAATCCCAGGAGATCTCCAGCTACCACCCGGAGATTGGCAACCCCAGTTGCCAGACCCCCTGGTAGAGGTGGGGGTTCCTCATCACCAAGGCCTATCCCCTAGCCACCCATCAGCTGGCTGGGGGGGACATACCTGGAGAAAGAGAAAGGGCCAGGCCTCCTTGCTGGTATCAAACAGGAAGTGACATCATCACAGCAACAACATCTGGTATTTGGGCAAAAACTCTATAGCAGAAGCCAGTTTTACCATAGAGTTTTTGCCCAAATACCAGAGCGTCACCTGGATGTCACTGGTGTGATGATGTCACTTTCTATGTGATACCAGCAACAAGGCCTGTGCCTTTTCTCTTTCTCCAGGTAAGCCCCCCCCCCCCAATCCCCTGATGGTTGCCAGAAGGGACCTGGCAATCCTACCTACAACACTTGGGGGAATCCAAACACTGCCCTTGGTAAATCACTCCCATGATTTTATCTCTGGGTACTTCTTGTCTCTAGTGTGCACGTAGGCAAATACAAGGACATGAACACTAAGAACACTATACAAGGACATGAACACTATTGCATAGCCTGCTATGCTCCATAGTACAACTGCTAAAGTTTATTTAAATACTGGAAGATAACAATGTATGTACGTGTGCGTATGTATTTTTCTCAATATATCTTGAACAAAGAGAACAAAGACCAATGTTGCTTTGAAATCAGTGCAAGTCAAAATAAATGAAAACACCTGGTCAGGTCCTGAACCTCCCTATAGAAGGCCCCACACTTTGAGAATCAATTATCCTGCAGAACCTTGCTCAGACTTAAAAGCAGTAGTGGTTAATGTGCCATAAATCAGGTTCCACGTAGGAAAGCAATGCCAGGTGACTCTGACCTGCTAATGAAGTGGCACATATATACATACACAGAGAGCCATGACATGGTTTTGCCTCTGATTAACCAAGAGGTGCAAACTGGAAGTGTTATGTTGGAAAAACAGATTGTAGGCCCACCTCTGGGCCACCCTAGCACTGGGAGGGCAGAATGTAGGCCTATGTAGAGAATAACCAAGATCAGAGCCCCAGTGTTACTGCTCAGGTATGCTACTCAGCTTAAAATTGCTAATACGGTTTGACTGCTGCCCTTGTAGGCTTCACAAAAGGAAATCCAGCAGCAGCTGCTATAACCAGTTTTGCCACTTCTATATTTGAGTGTAATGCCTTGACTTCTCTTATGGCAAAAGTGGCTAATAGAGAGGCTGGGGTGGGGTTTCTTCAAGGCCTGGGTGGCAGGGGGAAGGGATTCCACAGCCCTTCAAGTCGGAAAAGTTCCCCTGCATTCACCAGCAGAAGTCAAAGCAATGCTAGGAGTGCTTCGAATATTTGGGAACAGAGCGACCGGATTGGCCAAAAGTGAGGTAATGATTTCTCTAATTTGAATCCCCCAAAGGCTTAGTGCGAAGGAATCTACGGGCAAAACATAAATCAATTTTAATGGGCTGGAAGAAGTTTTTCAGTTTTGTTTAAAAAAAAAAAAAAGGAAAAAGAAAACCCTAACTGGGACCAAACTTCATTGAAGCTTGCCAGTGGATAGTGTTACATTTTACAACAGTGCAAGCCTTTACATAAACTATCTTTGGCATTTGAAATCCATTCCAGCAATCCGACATGTATCATTTTGCCATTCTCTTTTTCTTGCATTTTCAGCAGCCTGTCTCTTGTTGTGGAGAAAAGGGTGATCCCCCCCCTTAAAAACATTTTAATACCTATCCAGTTAGGAGATTTATCTTACCAGCATCTGCAATTTATATGGCCATGGAACACTCTGGCTCAAAAGGGGAACCCTGCTTACTTTCCCCAGCCCTCAGTGTGTGCCTCACACACTCCTGAACTTGCTCGGCCCCTAACTACACAGAGAGGGCCGGGAGGACTGGGGGTTTGGCACCATTCACGTGTCACTTAATGGATGAGTGAGAACCGATATTAAAAGCTGACCCAAACCTCCACTAAAAAACTTGAGCCAAACCCAAAACAAACCACTGTGAGGCTCAGCAAAGCTCTGATAATTCAAAATATTCTATGTTTCCATTTCGGGCGTTTTGTGAACCTCAGCACTTTCCAGGTTCCGTCTGCAACCAGAACCAGAAATCTGAAAAATCACACGAGGATGTGCGCTGCTAAAGCCCTTCCCAAAAGCTCTCCTTTGCAGACACAGAAAGAGTAATCGAACCTTGACCATGCAGGATCCCCAAAACACTCTTCCCATAGGGCTACGTTGAGCTGATTTGTTGGTTTTACACATCACTCCAAAAGCTTTGGGTCAATTAATAATAATGATAATACTTTGCATCTGTATAGCACTTCAGTATTCATGGCATTTCACATATATGCTGTTGCTGTAGTCCTTGAAACAGTCCTGCAGAGGTAGGGCAGTATTATTTTTCCTATATGAGTCAGGGGTAGGGTTCCCAGCTCCAGATTGGAAAATACTTGGAGATTTCAGGAGTGGAGCTGGAGGAGAGTGCAGTTTGGGGAGAGACTTCAATGGGGTATAATGCCATAGAGTCCACCCTCAAAAACAGCCATTTTCTCCAGGTGAACTGATCTCTGTCGCCTGGACATCAGTTGTAATAGTGGGAGATCTCCAGCCACCACCTGGAGGCTGGCAACCAAAGCCAGGGTGAAACTAAGACTAAGAAAGAATGCCTTGCCTTGGGTCACTTAGTGAGTCTGTAGCAAAGACAAGATGTGAGCCAGGGATATTCTGGTTAGTAGCTCAGCCTCTTAATTAACATTAATTAGCTTGTGTTACAGCATCTGCTGGAGCTATCAATTAATTGAACAATATTTTAGTTGCAAAAATTGCAGGCACCAAAAACCACAAGAGGCAGTGCCTCTTTCAGAAGAAGCTTTCTTCCACTGCATTTGCACTGAATGGAACACCTAAGCCAGCTGGATCTGAGTCCAGTAGCACCTAGAGACCAACAAGATTTTCAGGGTATAAGCTTTCAGAGAGTCAAAGCTCCCTTGGTCAGATATGAGTTAGAATGGAGATCTCTCAGTACTTATATCCCCGTCAGAAGATGGGAGGGGTGTTGCAAAGAAGAAACCCAGGATGCAAAGATACAGTGCATACTGTAATCAGCTTGATCAGTGCAAAGTGGAAATGCTTGGGGACAGACAATTAGCATCTGTAGCATAAGAATCCTATGTCCCAATTCAGCTCTGGGGGGTCCATTGTTCTGAACCTGTGAATGAACTCAAGTTCAGCCATTCACCCACAACAGTTCTTTTGATTGCACCTTGGCTCCGTCCAATGGCAGCTTCCTTAAGCAGCTGTGGAGCAAACTGTGGAGAAGTGGGAAAAGATCTCAGCTGAAGCTCTTAGCATGGAGTTTTTGTGGTAAAGCCTAGTTTCTACAGAAATCCATAGCGAAACTCCCACAGATTCTAGTGGAGCTGGATTGTACCTTTGGACTGTGCACCCTGGCTGCTGCTGCTGGTTCATCTGAACTGGCCATGTGGCAATCAGCTCAGACTCTGAATCACTTGCAAGTGTCAGGCCAGCAGACTTAGCAAACTCAGTGCCGGCATAACCCTCCATTTGGAAGCATCCTATTTAGGGCTGGTTTGATAGCCCTGATTTAAAATCTTGGAATTTTGTAAAGGTGTACTTCTTTTTGTATGACTGGTCTAAGGACTGTAGAAATAAACTAAAC